AATATTAGCCTTTTATGTATATATAGATAGATGGGACTGGTGCAATGTCCCCTGGCAGGAATGGGGCCTGTAGTTTTTAGGACCCACATAGTCTTCCCATTGAAGATGAAGCCCCATGGAGAGGTCTTGAATTCCAGTGCATGTACAGCGTCCTTGAAGATGGCATGCACCTTCGAAGATGGTTGCCTGCAAGCTGACACATCATTGTTCCTCGGCAGGTGATTCTAATGCACCCTCAGGCCAGTCACTTCCGGATGAGGCATACATGATAAGGCCAGCTGACCCCATGGCCACGGGCCCACTCCTGCACCTCCTTTGCTGTGAAGTGAGTCTCCTGGTCAGATAGCATGTTGTGTGGACTCCATGCCTGTGGATCAGGCCTTCTCATGAGACCCGACAGTGATGTTGGCTGACTGACTCTACTGGCAGAAAAGAAAAACCGTTACCCTTTGTATTAGATTGCTGGTAAAAATTTTCACAAACTGGGAAGCTTGAACAACAGAAATTTATTCTCGGAGTTCTGGAGCTAAAAATCCACGATCAGGTGTTAGCACGGCCATGTTCTCCAAAGGTTCTGGGCAAGAATCCTTCCTTGACTTTTCCCACAGTCCTTGGTGTTCCTTCGCTTGTAGATACATCACTCATTGTTCCATGGTGTTCTCCCCTCAGATGCTTGTGTCTTCTCCAGTTCTTAAAAGGACACCACTCACACTGGATGAAGGTTCACCCTACTCCAGTATAACCTCACCTTAACTAACCACATCTTCAATGACTGTTTCCAAATACATTCTGAGGTAATGGGAGTTAGGACTTCAACATATCTTGGTAAGCAACACAAGTTAACCCATGACAGATGATAGTAGGGAGGCCGATTTCAGTTTGGAAGAAGTAACTTTCTAGGAATAAGATTTATTCAGAAGTGCAGTAACTTTCTGAGGTTAACTCTCATCAGTGAAAGTGGTCAGGGGTGACTCCTTCAAAGATGTTAAAGAATGACTAATTCAATGGTTAGGTTATTCAACTAGAAAATATTTAATTCCTTTCCAGCTGTTAGTTAATAAGCTCATGAACTAAGTAAAATTACAGCACACTGTTTCATTGGCATTGCCACCTAAAAACTTCAGTTCACATCTCTACTAATTGACTAGATAAGCTACTATACTTGGTGCTATGGGGAATACCAATGTACCTCCTCCCCCAAATTGGTTCCTCCTTTTGTGAAAGTCATCACTCCTCACTCAGTTGTCCAACTAAAAAATACAGCGTCCTGCTAAGTATAAAACTATTGACTTAGAGCATAGATTTTGGAGTAAGTCAGACTCAGACTTAAATTTCAGCTTTTAAGCACGTCCATTTTCTCATTCTCCACTTCAGGTCATCATCATCATCATCTGCTGTTTCTATTGTTGAAAGCCGAATTCTTCTCAATTAGAGCAATTCACGAGTTCTGATATGTATCTGTGAAACCAAAATAATCAAGACGAAGAACATATCCATCAATCATGCCCCTTCCCACCACCCCTATCCTCACACAAACTCTTACTTAATTTTTGTCACTATAAGTTCCCATTTCCTAGAATCTTAATGCAAAGAAAATCATACAGTATGTACTTTTTCACCTGGGTGTTTTCACTCAGAATAATAGAAAGTTATCAATGTTGCATGCTTCAAGTTTGTTCCTTTTTTTGGGGTGGGGTGGGGTTTATTGCTGAGTAGTACTCCATTGTATAGATATACCAGGGTTTGGCAACCCAGTCACCTATTGGTAGACATTTGGGATAAACTTGAGAAAAGGTTTGTGATTCTTTGTGTGGACACATGCTTTTTCTCTTGGGTAATACACAGGGGTGAAATGGTTTATTTGTACAGTAGGTACATGTTTTACTTTTTGAGAAGCTGCCAAACTGTATTCCCAAGTGGTTGTACAATTCTACGTTCCCATCGTAGTGTAGGTAAGTTCCCATTGCTCCACATTCTTGCCAAAACTTGGTCAATGCAGCGGGTGTCTCTCATTATTAATTCATATTCCCCTTATGACTAATGATATTGGGTAGCTTTTCATGTACTTATTTGCCATCCCTGTACTTTCTTAAGTAGCAGTTCAAAATATTAATAAAATTTGCCCATTTTAAACTGGGTTTTCTTCATGTTATTACAGTTTTTTAAATATAGCCTAAATATAAATCCTTTACCCGATATATTTTGCAAATATATTGCCTTGCCTCTTCAGTATGTCTTTTGAAAAGTCTAAGTTTTAAATTTTGATGAGCTCAATTTAGCAATTGTTTTTGTATCACAAAGCATATCCTGGGCTTTGTTTTATGGGCAACCTTCCCTGTTATTGCCCACACAGTGGCTCAGCTTTCTAATTTCCTCCCTATTGATAAATGTCCCGAGGACAACAGGAACTTTGCTAGTGCATCTGTGGAGTGGAAACTGAGAGCCCAAAGTTGGTTTTTACTGAACGTGTGTCACTTTCACACCATTAGGTTGAAAAATTGTAAGTTGGGAACTGTCTGTACCTGTTTAATGTCCATTTTTAACCTTAATGAGTGTGAGGTTTACCTCTATGATCCTCAGGACTCCTCAGATGTACTTAATTTAAAGCAAGTTCCTAACTTACGAATATATTAAAGACAAGCAATTTATCTCAGAGATATAACAAGAATATGAAATACCATTTTTTATTTTTTTAATATATTTTATTGATTTTTTACAGAGAGGAAGGGAGAGAGATAGTTAGGAACATCGATGAGCGAGAAACACTGATCAGCTGCCTCCTGCACACTCCCCACTGGGTATGTGCCCACAACCAAGGTACATGCCCTTGGCTGGAATCGAACCTGGGACCCTTGAGTCCGCAGGCGGACGCTCTATCCACTGAGCCAAACCGGCTAGGGCAAGAAATACCATTTTTAATTTTTTTATTATTATTTTTTTAAAATATATTTTATTGATTTTTTACAGAGAGGAAGGGAGAGAGATAGAGAGTTAGAAACATCGATGAGAGAGAAACATCGATCAGCTGCCTCCTGCACATCTCCTACTGGGGATGTGCCTGCAACCCAGGTACATGCCCTTGACCGGAATCGATCCCGGGACCCTTCAGTCCGCAGGCAGACGCTCTATCCACTGAGCCAAACCGGTTTCGGCAAGAAATACCATTTTTTAAATAAAAAAGCAAACCCAATGAATTTACTTAAGAGTAATAATTTTCTGAAGGGTAATTTTCTAACTCTGGGATGAGAAGGGTAGCATGTTCTGCTCTAACACTTCACAGAGACAGTGATTTAGATGTATGTTTCAAAACTGCTGGTGCTTGCCTAAGTTTCTTTAAAACAGCTATGATAAAAGACCAAGTACAACCAAGTTAATTCAAAAAACATTTATTAAAAGCTTATATGATAGGACTATGTGCTAGGGACACACACACAGTTGGGACATTGTTCCTATAGTTAGAGTTCAGGATAGAAGACTGGTGGGGGTGGAGAGGAAAGGACAGAGGTAACATTTGAACTGGTGCTTTCGGGTAGGAAAGCAGGTGATGGATACTCCAGGGACTGCGGAGACCATCAGCGAAGTACAGGCACGCGTGTTCTGTTACTACTTAAAGAACGAGGTGTGTGGACAGCTGAAGAGCATCTAGGACACCAGGACCAAGTAGTGTAAGGGGACTGAGAAAAGGGGGAAGTTTCAGAGATGTCTTAACAACAGGCTCAACAGGGCTTAATGATGTCAGAGATAACTAGCAAGTAATGTTCAATTCCCCGTTTGGGTAACTAGATTGGACAGAATGCTGACAGGAAAGATGTTTTGGGGTTCGAGGGTAAAAAAAATTTTAATGTCAAGTTGAATACCTTTTCTGCAGGACACAGACATCCATATTAGGTTCTCGCCTGATATGACTCTACCCACATTATGTCCTTGAAGGCAAACACATCTAAAAGGTATTTTCTACTGTAGTTTATTTCAACTTTCCTATTAAAATATTTTCATATTCCACTGGACTGGAAAGGGCACACAAGTATTCCCACTTATATACTCTGCCTTAATATCATACGCAATTTAAAAGATTTGTTGACAGGGATTACAAAAGGACAGAACCACTGTGGCCTTGGGCCATATTCTCCAAGCACACAAAACCCTTAGCTGCGTCACCTGACCCTTCAATTCAGTTCATGTTTGATTTTGCTGGGTGTTATATGAGTGTGACAAGTACTAAATACAGGAAGGGCTTCAATAGAAACACTCATTCACCCTTACACTAGTGGAGAAGTCATACCATCTATGTCAGGTAGAAATTATTCTGAGGATTACAGTAAAGGAAGAGAGTGGCATCAGAGTCCAGAGGAGATGAATCTTGCATTTATCTAAGGAACTGCTCATCGAGCTGCAGAAACTGCCCATTGAGATAAGACATCCTCGGGCCATAGATACCCTGTGGAAAGAACAACACTCAGACCACCGACAGAGCACACAGGGTTTCCTCCTGCTAGGAAGAGCTGAGATGCAGAGACAGCCTTCTTCTGCTTGCTTCCTTCTCTCCTCTCATAGCTTCAGGAGTTCCTCGTTTACTTTAGGTGATGGGTCTGTATACTCAGGAAAATATCCAGAAGTTCTGTAGAGTATGCCCTTATTAATCACTCAACTTGAAGTTCAACAAACAGCACCAGACTTCTGTTTACTCTAAGTGCCCGGGTCTCTATTTCCATCTTTTCTGAAAACACCCAGTCTTTCACCAGGACTTAAAGCACGAAGAAGCACTAAGAGGCGCCAGGCTAAACTGCCAGGTAAAGGTGACCTGTGAGCAATACAAACAAGCCGCTCTAGTGACTGTCTTCTCTGTTGCCCTCATTTGGAAATGGACACGTTACTGTTTCCATAATCTTTTAAAGATCAGTCTTTGTAAAGAAGAACTACTATAGAAATAACTTTTTACATTATCATCTATAAAGAGGTTTAATATCTCTGCAATTTAGTACTCAAGTCTACAGGAAAAAAACAATAACAACTGCTTTATTATTAAAAGTTACTGAATTCCATGAAGCACACAATGTAATTTATATTCAACTAACAAAAGTTTGATACATGTATTTAAAAATATATAATATATAGGCTTTATCTGTCTTTAACATTTATATTCTATTTAAAAAGCAATAGCTTTACATATTTTACAACTTGGATTTATAAAATATACACATTCACCCTCTTCAAATCTTCAAGCGCAAGCTTCCATTCCTATTAATAAAATGTACAATGTGTATTTCTGAATATTGAGAGGAAAATGGTACCAAATAAGAACAAAAAAATCCATTTTGACTTATAAACATGCAGTCAATTCTAGATAATTAATTTAATAATCTATTCAAAGAATTATTTTACCTCAAGCATGACAATCCATTCCATTCATGTGAACAATCTGTGATTAACTATGGAGAGGTTTGTATTTTCATGGTAACTGACACAATCTACCCAATTGCTTAGCAGTCTTGCTTCAGGCCCTATAAGTAGCGAGGCAGGATTATTTACTCTTTCCATACACCAGGAAATGTGACAAGTGATGTCGTGTTGAACAAGCTAAAGCCCATGCTTCTGCCTTTGAGCTTAGAAGGAATGTAGGAACAGTTTCCTCAAAACCTGCCAGTGTATGTGCCAAGAATCAGACCGAGAACTGTCCTTTCCCCACTAACTGCACTGCGCTCACAAAGCTGGAGTTCTTTAGGTGTGTCAGGCCAGCTTCTAGTCTGGCATTCCCTGCACACATTCAAAATGACTGCAGGTGTTACTTTTTTCTTTTTTTTAACCAACCAAGTACCTTTCATAAAAAACATATTCTTGTAAACATTCTGGAGATTCACCCCCAAATATATATTCCAATACTAACATTTTAGAATTAAAATCACAGTCAGTACCATAGAACCAGAACTTCCAACTTCAGGGGACAGATTTAGTTTGAAGGATGTGTTTAAATTCTGTGGGCCTCTAATGGTAATGATAAACGCACAGTTTATGCTGAGAAAGCAAAAGTCTCCTACAAATTATTGTTTAAAAAGAGTCCAAATCTCAAAGTGACTTAGAAACTTAAACAGAAATATACTTTTAGCAAAACAAGTAATTTAACGGAAAGGAAAAGGGAAGTAAAGGAGGAAGGAAGGAGGGAGGGCGAAAAACTTGGAAGTCAGAAACTGCTGAAGAACAAAACACTACACACACATCTGTGAGGACACAGTGAGGAAAAAGAGGAATAAAAAAGAAAACAAAAAACAACCGACTGCAAAGAGGACTAGGGCCAGTTGGTGCAGATGAAAGACACCCTCTTCACAGATCTGACTCATGCCCAACACAGAATACCAGAGCAGCTGATTCTGGTACCAAGGAAACCTTAGAAGAGAAACGTATGGTTAAGACTGAGTTCTTTATAAAAATCAACTCGCACAATTACAAATCTAAAGCATTCAGCTAAAATATGCACAAAAAACTAAATAAAAGTGAGACCGAGAAATACAAGCAGGAATATAAAGCCTTAGAACTAGTGACACTGAATTCTTTATTTAAAAAAAGTTAACACACAGTACCTCCTCTTCTCATCTATTTTTAGGGAGAAGCTTTAACAAGGCTTAAATATCTCAATTCTCAAAAACAATAGGCTTTTTAAAAAATAAGACTTGATTAGCAGAAACAAGTCATATGTGGTTACATACCATTTTCACATCACTACTCATTTCCATTATCTGTCAATTCATCTTTGATGTAATCTGGGGATGATCAAGCAGCCACTAGATACCTGTTTTAGAATCTGAAAAAATTATCCACCACAGGAATCTAATGATACATTATATTGCATATATTTAAAATATCAGAAGGGAAAAAGTAATAAACTATTCTAGTTATTTTATACCAAATATGGGTATACCTAGTCAATAAGGATTAAGATCTTTCTCCAGGTGAACTGTTTAGAAAAGCTGTTTTTAGCATTTGCCCCTGGGGATTAAAAAAAATTTTTATTTCCCTGCTAGCTAAAAGGAAGAATTTACACATTACAAGTAAAGTCCTTTAGAGGTGAATATCAAATTCCTTAAGAGAACATCCACAAAATTTACTTTTAAAAAGTTTATCTTAAAAAAACTGAAAACCATTTCTCTCTTTAAAGTCTACGGCAAATACCTACTTGACATAATAGTATTTTCCTCTTTTTTTGAAAGGGCCAAGTTCCTGATCTAAGCATGCAAAATAAGGAATTGAATGCATCACTGTCTTAACAGAATTTGGCAAACCAGAAGAATGGCCTTAAAATAAATAAATAAATAAACAAACAAACAAGAAGGAAGTGCACACTGTCTGAATGTGAGAGGGTTCTTAGGCCTCCACAGCAGGCAGTGCCCCAGAGCGAAGCAGGGAAGAGGGAAGGAGCAGGTTCCTATGTACATTTTCTTGGCATTGTGGTTGTCTTTCAACAACGTATCACAGAGAAATAGTCATTTAATTATTACAAAGCCATTAACTGCCCTTTCCAGAGCAATGACTCAGGTAAACATCTTATGTCTTCCAATAATGTAACTTACATTTAAAATTAACTCGTTAAATCTAAGTGCAAAGGACTTGTCAATGATTCCTAAGTTCAAGGGAGAAATAAAGTGTTATCTGATTGTAAATTTTGAATGGTCGGTGTTTCTATATTTTAGGATATTTCATCTTCATTTCTTCTCTTTAAACCATAAAATGTACTGAAATTATTTGGTTTTCCTTTACTTTCCTCTGCTTCATTTTAATTGTTATGGTGTCTCCATGTAGAGAGAGAGGTATGTTAAAATACTGTTATTCGTATTTTAAAAACTCAACTGAGGTTATATCTATAATATAGCATTGTTAATCTTTGACCTGGTATATCAATTCTTTCGGAAAATAAATGTCACAGGTCATTTTTTTAAATAAAAGGATTTTAGTAAGAGAACCAGCAGAACGAAGAGAATTTCCCCCACCCTCACCCCCGAAAAAGATCAGGTTAATCAGTTTAGAGCAGTTATGTAAAATATGAAAAATACATAATTTACAGCTGCGATTTTCATATTAAAAAGCCGTTAAAAACTAAGAGTAATTCAAAGCATCTCCAAAAACATTTTCTGTCTTGGTTAAATAGGCCATCTAGTTAAGACAGATAAAGACTACTGTGGGAACTTATTTATGCCTAGTCAAGAGAGAAAAAAATGTTTTTAATTTTAAAAAGTGGTAGTTGCTAACTAGCAGTATAAACAGTGTCCACAATTTGGTGGCTGGCTATAGTTTTAATTTTTTTTTTCAAGTTATTTCTAAAGCAGACGTATTTTTGAAGTCTACCCACCCCTGAGTTCAGCAATTATACTTTAGAGTGTAAAATTATATGCCCATAATTAACAACATGTACAAAGCTACAAAATGTTGTCTATACAGAGATTAAAAACAAATTTTAAAATATTACTTGCCAATTATTGATTGGACAGTTTTGCTGGGGTACATATTTCAAACCTTTCAGCCAATTGGCTTTTATTTTTAAGCCCAAATTGATTCATAAATTCACTGCAGGATATGTCAAAAGAGTGCAACAATATGCATTAGTAAAAATAACATTGTAGTAGAAACAGATTTTGCATATGTGAAAAGGTAATTTATAAAATACATTAATCACTTTTAAAAAAGAGAGCCTAGCTGCAGTATCATTAACTTACACGGTACTGAGAATTGGACCTTTCAACAATTTTTTTCCTATAGAAAAAATGTGACTGTAAAGCAAAGACTGTAAGCAAAGTCTTTTAAATAAGAAAACAAAAAAGAAATCTCTCCAGGAATAACTGTATGGTTGTGTGAGATAAATAAAATAAGTAAACATACCATTCTATAGTGTACTTCTGCCTAAATTTTAAAATAAAAATGTCCACACTCTTTGATAAAACATTAAGCCTCTGTCAAAAATGTATTTCTTATTTTAGGGTACAGGATTGAAGGACAAGATGATAGTTACAAGTAAAGAAAATTTACAAGAAAAAAATTGACAAAAGTTTTTCAATTAAAGTATTGTAACATTCAAACTTGACTTAAAACATAACAAAAGAAACAAAATGGCAAACAAAAAATGTTTTTGGGTTTTCGAAACAAATAAATGAAATAGTGTTTAGGCAGTAGGGCTCATGCTGATGGCTAGCAGGAAGTAACAGAGTGTACTCTACTTGGAAAAATCATTAATGTACAAACAAGCCCAAATTATGGACTGCAGTAATTTAATCATCACTGCCATTTTTCTTCCAAAATAAAGCCTTGATTAAACCATTCATACCCTATTATTACTCATACCTTTACTTCAAAGATTAAAGGAACTATATACAACAAATGAATTTATTTTCACCATAGGGATAACATATTGTACCTCTCTGCCAATGTTACTTGAAAACCTTCCATGTCAAAACAACTTGACAGTAGATATAAACAATTCAATAAATACGCAATGATCTTTCATTACAGTCCTTTGAAGATGCATGTTAATTCATGCTGTTAACCTTAGGATCACAGTGCATAGAATCCAAATAGAAGCAAGTTGGGGTGACTTTCAAAGTAATATTGGATCCCTCACTTTATTTATAATCCCACGAGAACCGTTACGTTAATGTCCCAGGCCCCGTCATGCATTAATCACTGGGTGGCAGGAGTTAATGAAAATTTTTCCTGTTATGACGTCCATTGCCGGCAATGAACGTCCCAAAACCGTCAAGGAAGTCATTGTTATTGCACAATACATGAGGACCTGGAACTTTTCCAAAAGCTTAAAAAAATAAAAATAAAAAATGGAATTATATTTGACATTTCCTGACACCTGCATTAATACTGTATGACTAATAAAAGCATGTCAGCTGCCTGGACTGAACCAGCGATCAACATGCGCCCAGAATGCACACGAGTAAAAATGCAGTAAAAGGAAGTAGTCTTCATTGCCTATAGGTCACTTCCAGTCAAAGGTTAAAGTTCAAAGACTGAATGATCAAAGTGCTCATTTTCTCAGTAGGACTATCTTCTGCTAGGAGGATGATAATAGTGGCATCAACAAGTATCATCTTGAAGAAAAGGAGAAAAAATATAATTAAAAAAGTCAAGCATGTGTCAGTAAAATCTGTAAGTTAGTCTAACAAAAAAATAATTTCAAGTATCAAGAACACTTAGGTTTACATATCTGACTTGCTTCACCCAATCCCTGCAAATAAAAAAGTCCAATTTGTGTTCATTTATATAGTGACAAACAAATCAAGTCCTATTTTTTCAGGGAAATGGTAGTTCATACAAATCTTAAAATGACGTATTAATAGTACATTAGCTCTATTTAAAATAATAAATTAATATATGTTAGCACATATTCAGGATTTACCAGTCTTAAGAGAATTCTTTTATGGGGAACAATTTAAAATGATAACAAGATAAGAAGTACACCCCTGAGGAACAATGACATGCTATTTAACACAGAACAAACAAGTCATGTCTTCAGTCTTTTGAAGGAAGTAACTTCACAAAGGAGGTACAATCTCCACATCAATCAAATAACGTCATTAAAAAAAACCCACGCCCTAACTGGTTTGGCTCAGTGGATAGAGCGTCGGCCTGCAGCCTGCGGCCTGCGGCCAGGTCCCAAGGGCACATGCCCCGGATGTAGGCTTGATCCCCAGAAGGGCGCCTCCAGGAGGCAGCTGATCCATGATTCTCTCTCATCATTGATGTTTCTATCTCTCTCTCTCTCCTTTCCTCTCTGAAATCAATAAAAATATATTTAAAAAAAACAAAACACCACCCAGAATTATTTAGTAACTCCTTCTCGTAGCCTCAACATTATATTTTTCTAATACGTAGCATCATCTTCTGGGTTCATGACTTGTTTTACAAGATTTATTTCACAAAACATATCTGAAGGATTTATTTTGAGGATTGGTTATTCTTCAGAAAGAAGCTAGACTAGTGGCAACTACTAGAGTTGTTAAAGCTTTCTAACAGAAAATTCTGAAAAATTGGCTAAAATATTTTACAAACCTTTCCATGTTTGGATCAATATATTGCTATTAACATTCCCATTCATAAAGACTCAACGAGAACTAAAAACCAGTAAGCTGACTTCTATCCTAGACAAACTAATGGAATATTCTGTGATCCTACACCTTCTTTTAAAACATATTTTTATTGATTTCAGAGAGGAAGGGAGAGGGAGAGAAAGCTAGAAAAATCAATGATGAGAATCATTAATAGGCTGCTTCCTGCACACCCCCTATGGGGACTGAGCCTGCACCTCAGGCATGTACCCTTGACCGGAATTGAACCTGGGACCCTTTAGTCCACAGACCAACACTCTATCCACTGAGCCAAACCAGCTATGGCTGTGTTCCTACAACTTAAGGGTAATCTAAAGGGTGAAATAGACTAGATTTTTAAAATAAATCACATCTAAATTAGAATCCTTTAATAAATAACAAATATTTAAGAAGCTGATGTGGCTCAATGGTTGAGTGTCAACCTAAGAACCAGGTGGTCAAGGTTCAATTCTCAAACAGGGTACATGCCTGGGTTGCGGGACCAATCCACCATGTGGGTTGTGTGGGTTGTGCACGAGGCAGCCAATCAATGATTCTCTCTCATAGTTGATGTTTCTATCTCTCCCACTTCTGTCCTCTCAGAAATCAAAATAACAAGTGGATAGTTTATAGCCTCTAAGTGTCACAACTTGAAACTATCTGTTTCTTAAATCAGTGTGGAAATGGGAAAAAGAGGAAATATTAGTTATGGATGTACAAACTTAAGAATATGAGTAAGTTCCTTAAAATATCACTTCTCCAGTAGTATATTTCATAATACTAGAAATTAATACTAAAACTAATCACACTTAAATTTCTAAGCTAAGAGATAGCACTAAACTCTATCTAATATGTCAAACTACTGAGGATAAACTTTAGCATCATGTCATGTGACAAAGTATGCACTAAGTGACAGATAAAATCAAGTCAACATAAAGTTACCCAGCAATAAGTTTTTTAAAAAATATATTTTATTGATTTTTTACAGAGAGGAAGGGAGAGGGATAGCGTTAGAAACATCAATGAGAGAGAAACATTGATCAGCTGCCTCCTGCAGACTCCCTACTGGGGATGTGCCCACAACCAAGGTACATGCCCTTGACCAAAATCGAACCTGGGACCCTTCAGTCCATAGGCCGACGCTCTACCCACTGAGCCAAACCGGTCAGGGCAACAGTAAGTTTTTATCTCCAAAGACACATCATCTTTGATAGGTGTTACCATAAATGTACCTTTATCAGGTTGTTCATTCTGGAAGTTTTCCAGGACAATAGGCTGATGTAGAATGTGCTACCAACATCCAAAATGACTGAGAGATCCATGCAAAGCTATTCTTCCTATCTTGAGTCCCATGTTGGGTCAGATGTTAAAAGAAATTTAAAACTAATGCAACATTATCTGCCTTGAGTACTGTATCCTTCCTAAATAAGTTCTGAAAATGGAGTTCAATTAAACATGACAACTCCACGATGGCTGTATGGCATCAAGAGTCTGTGAGCAAATATTTAAGTACAGAGACAGGTACAAGCAAAAGCCATGGATACCTTCTCCTTAAAAAAGAAGACGCGCCTCTAAGCAGCAAAAAATTCATTGTTAGAAGGAACACAGCGTCCTGGCTAAATGAAAGGGTTCTTGGATATCAGAAATGGCTTACAAAAGAATAGTTGTTATAGTGAACCCATCTTGGATCAAAACAAATATAAGTCTACAAAAGGTACTGAAAGAACACAACATATTTAACCTCCTGGCTAATATATTTGTGGCAAGATGATGTCTAAAAAAAAAAAAAATCTATTAACCATTTATATTTTTTCTGGAACTGCAGAAGCCCCTCCTAAAATTATATTCTCAAACAAATCACCAGTTCCAAACAGGTGACACCTACCATGGCTAACTTCACTGGGTTCTGGGAAACATGAATGGGAGAGAACTATATTAGAAGAAGGTCATTTAGTTTTCCCCAGAGTACAATTACCATCACATTATACTGGAAACCATCCTCCTGAATATTCCCAGGTACAGAAGATTAGAAGAAAAGGGATACAGGATAAGATCAGTAGATATGAAGTGGGATGCTACCTCCAAGAAAGACAAAAATCAATCTTTATAGTTCGATTAGTCTCTCAACAGTTTAGGGAATTAAAGTTTTCCTTTGATGAACAGATTCAAGAAAGATTTCAGATCAGACAATAAAACTGTTATAAAGGGCAAAAAACTGTTAAAACTAGTATAAAAGTTTGGACTCATCAATTTAGAGTTCAAAAAGGTAGCACAGCCATAACTGGTTTGGCTCAGTGGATAGAGCGTCGGCCTACGGACTGAAGGGTCCCAGGTTCGATTCTAGTCAAGGGCATGTGCCTTGGTTGTGGGCACATACCCAGTGTGGGGTGTGCAGGAGGCAGTTGATCGATGTTTCTCTCTCATCGATGTTTCTAACTCTCTATTCCTCTCCCTTCCTCTCTGTAAAAAATCAATAAAATATATATTTTTTAAAAAAGGTAGCACAAATAAGAAGGTTCACAACTAATGTAGATAAATCTATGAATTTATAAGGCAAGGAGAAAAAGAGTTTGTTAATACTAGTTTGAGATTAATTTTATGTTCTTATTCCCTTATAATCCTGCAGGAAATGTTTCAGCCAAATGGAACCAGAATGTAGTCTATAGTTTTGCAAAAGACATTCTTCTGCTCCTTATCAGTTTACTGAATAAAACATATAAACATTGTGCCAATTTATTTCCTATAAGCCTAGTTTTCTGGAGACAATACTCGAAAGCAGTCTTAAGCTATATTGTTTAGTAATCTATCACCTTAAGAAAAATGCTTCAGTAACCACACATCTGTACTCCTATCTATAGAAAGCAGTAATTTAAGAAACTAAGTTGTAAATGTTTATATTAATTCCAGAAAGCAAATGGATATTAATGGATTCTAGTTGACTGCTAGCTCACTGAAAGTTTTTATAATCTCATAAAAATATTCTTTCTTATCTTTTTCAAGAACAATTGCGTCTGCTTTATAATATAGAAAGTTGAGGCTCAATCATTCATTCATACACTGAACTGGATACAAACTTGTCTTCTAAGAAGATTCTAGCTCTCAATCACAGGCAAATCCCACAGATCCTCAGTATGCTGAGATAAACTGCCCATTCAATACGTATTTAGCAGTGACTAGGCTAAATTTCAAGGTATGCTAACTAATAAAGCAGAAGATGACAAATTTAAGCTGAGGTGCTTTTTTTCAAGAACCCAACACTGGTAATATCTGGCAGCTCAATTTTAGTGTGTCAGCTGAGTCCCCCTCTTCCAAAACCAGGAGATAAACTAAATTTCAGATTTGTTTTTCATTAATAGTGCCTTCATCCTGCATCCAGAAACCCCCTCTGAAGTACACATGAATCACCAGTCTAAACCCAAAACCTCTCCTGTCTCTTTGGCTACACTTGACACATATTCTGACCCACACTGATCCAAGGATGTTAGTTAGCATCACAGAGCAGGGCTGTGGAGCTTCATACCTGAAGCCTACCATTCTGCATGTTTCTAGAAACTGAAATGTTAAGTGTTTCAGGGAGTTCATCCAATTCCAAGCAAATCTTTGTTTAGTCTGATCTTTCTGTTTAGCTTTGCTGGCAAACTTTGTAATCCTTTCAGAATTAGATGCTGCTAAGAAGTAACAAAAGATCATCTGTCTTGGTAACTTGGTTATAAAGAGAACATGATCAATGAAGACCTTTTGGAACTAAAGCAGCTAAGCAGAATACAAACACCTAAGACTTGATGTATTCTACTTTATAAGTGAGTACGATTATCTTATTGATAAGATTTTCCAAAGTCAATTACAATGTCAAGGTAGGCTATTTTTCACATTGCCCAAAACTGTTAATTATTCTTAAGTGTAAAAAGAAGACACTATATGCTACCCAGCTGACATACTTCATCTTTTTAAAGATGAAGAAAATGTTCAAAGAAGATTCTCTGCACGTACTGACCCACACTGGACAGAGCAGTTGCTCTACCATCACAAAATAATATACTAATATTACTCTTCCCTGATTTCACATCAGGCTCACTCATGGAGCAAAATTGTTGATTTAAGGGTAATTGTGGGAAGGGAATGATTTACACTTACAGGGTTCAAGAAAACACACTGAGGTAAGAATGGTCACTATAAGTTAATGAACTGAGGATGTTCGAAATAATTATCTGTGAATGAAAAAGAACATGTGTTCTGGGGTTAGGATACTATCCCAGGACTGAAACTGGACTAGGGTAGTCATGATTTAGTTGAATTAGAATCCAGTGCTTTTAAAAAATGGCTTATTTGTATTTTAGGAGGAGGGATAGGAAGAGGGGATACTTTTAATCTGTTTATGGAGAAAATTAATTCCGATATAAACCCTGGACTATTTTACATTAAGAGGTAAATTTTGTTTAAAAAGTCTCTCTTTTTTTCAAGAACCCAACACTGGTAATATCTGGCAGCTCAATTTTAGTGTGTCAGAGATTAATTTTATGTTCAGTGGTTGAGGGCACATCCCCAGTAGAGGGTGTGCAGGAGGCAACTGATCGATGTTTCTCTCTCATTGATGTTTCTAACTATCTCTCTCCCTTCCTCTCTGCAAAAAATCAATAAAATGTATATTTAAAAAAAAATAATAATAATACTGGTTTCTCGTTAAAATATTTTTTCACAGCTCTTAACAGTTTTGTTATTTTTTTTCTTCTAGGTCTCTATACGTATTTCTCATTAACATTATCCCAAATATTCCTTTTTTCTGTGGCTCTTCTTTCATTGTGCTTCCTAAACTGTACCTGCTGGAATAGTGCTATTGTACTGACTCCAGTCATCTTTTATTTCAACACCTAGAGAACTCCTATTATTTATTATTTTTTAAATCTTTATTGTTTAAAAGCATTACATATGTCCCCTTGAGAACACCTATAATTTAAAAAAATTTTTTAAAGAATGAAAAGGAAACAGTAGTAAGGAAAATTGTTTATGGAGTCAGAGGTCCTGAATTGCAACACGGTTTCATTACTTCTTTTGTTTTTGTTGCTTCTGTTGTTGTTTCTAGATTTATTGAGGTATAATTGACAAATAAAATTGTCAGATTTTTTTTAAGTTTTTAATAGACTCAAATTAATTGAGGTAACAGGTTTCATATTGGATAGAAAGATAAGGGGGAAAGGCTCCATTCCTTTTCAATAGTTTTGTCAGTTCTAATTCTTATTAGATAACATTAAAACAAAAATCAAAACAAAGGAAACGCTCTTATGTATATAACTAGAGGCCCGGTGCACAAAAATTTGTGCACTTGGGGGGGGGGGTCCCTCAGCCCGGCCTGTGCCCTCTCACAGTCTGGGACCCCTTGGGGGATGTCCACCTGCTAGCAGTCAGACATCACTCTGGCAGCCCAGGAGCCCTCGGGGGATGTCCACTTGCCAGCGGGGAGCAGGCCTAAGCTGCAGTTGGACATCCTTAGCGCTGCTGAGGAGGCAGGAGAGGCTCCCGCCACCACTGCTGTGCTGGTAGCCATCAGCCTGGCTTGTGGCTGAGCAGAGCTCCCCCTGTGGGAGCGCACTAACCACCAGAGGGCAGCACCTGCATTGAGCGTCTGTCCCCGGGTGGTCAGTGTGTGTCATAGTGACCAGTCATTCTCAGTCGTTCTGCTGTTAGGGTCAATTTGCATATTACCCTTTTATTATATAGGATAGAGGCCTGGTGCATGGGTAGGGGCCGGCTGGTTTGCTCTAAAGGGTGTCCCGGATCAGGATGGGGGTCCCGCTGGGGTGCCTGGCCAGCCTAGGTGAGGGGCAGATGGCTGTTTGCAGACTGGCCAAGCCCCCCAGCTATCCAAGCTACCAGCCTCTCCTTTTTTCCTTTTTTCTGGGATTTATTTATCTTCTATAATTGAAACTTTGTAGCCTTGAGCGGAGCGGAGGGCTGGCCAGGGCAAGCGGGAAGCTTGGCTTCCTCCATCGCCAGGTGCAAACCAAGCCTCCTGCTCGCTCCAGCTCTGTGGCCTCCGCCATATTAGTTGGGTTAATTTGCATACTCACTCCTGATTGGCTGGTGGGTGTGGCTTGAGCATAGCAGATGGGCAGTTAATTTGCATGTTTCTCTTTTATCATATAGGGTGTCACAGGGGGTGTGTTTTGTTCACTTGCTTCAAAAAGTATATTGAGAATATCAATTTTTTGTCTTTAATTTTAAGCATTTCTGGCAAAGCAGTAAGGTCAGTTTAGAAAAGATGCCAGCAGCTTTCAATTATAAAAGCTACCATCACCCTCCCCACAAGAACAGAAATGTAAAATTATAGAGAGTACTGTATACATAACTTCACATTTTTTGAGGAATAACTATTAGAGGAGGAAGCACTTTCTTTAATTTGATGGGTCAGCTCTAACAATGCGGCTCCCCCTCCCAGAGAACAGCACCAAAACTGAAGGAGTACACAGGCATCAAAACCTCTATTTCAAACATCAGGTTTCCCAACAACTAGCTCTAATTTGATCTAAACATTATTAAGGACTTCTTTTTTTGTAATATAATGGTAGTTTCAAAATGTTAAAGCAATTTTAGATTTTACTTGTATGATGGTTATAATTTTATGTGCCCCATTAAGAAGCTAGTATAACTTGCCCATAAAATATCTTAAAGTATTTTTAAAAATTTTTCTCCATATTACAAAAAATTCAACATTAATTTTATTCCCTTTTTTCAAGCAAAAAGATATATAATTTTTCAAATCAAAATGCTAAAAAGTTATTATTCTAAAATAAAACTGCTTACCATGATACCACCATTTTGTTTTCTTTGGATTCTTGTTACATGTTCGAACATAAAAAGAATTATCTGGTGGTCGTCTCTGAAACAAAAAAGCGTTTAAATAGATAAGAAGTTGTAAAATAGATAAGAAGTTGTAAAAAGCTTTAGCAAAACTATTATAGAATGCATAAAAAAAGAATATAACTACTGATGGCATAAATGAAAGAAACCCTAGGGACTGTAGACATTTGACACTAAAATTGCTTTTAAAAAACTAGAAGTGTGTGGTGTAGTTTGAGTTAGGCTCCTGTGGGATTACTAGAGAATGAATATCAACTAGTAGTGGCATCATTAGGTTGTAAGAAATTCTGGTTTCATTTATCTTGTCTCCCTAGAAATAAGTTAATAATTACTTTTGTGAGGTAATTAAAACAAAAAAGTCTACCCAATTAGGTTTGTCTGAGAAAACTAATGCAACTTATACATCTCAACAAAGGAATTTACTTTTCTGTAAGATCACCAAGGACAGACCATAGGACTCAGTTTCCAAATAATATGAGAAAAAAGGGGAAAAGATATATTAGCATTTCTGCTGTACATATATATGCCTTACTGGAACCATACTACAAACAGATGGCAGCTTTGCAAGGGATATACTAGTACATCAGAAACAGTGATGCCAACACTGAAGATAGATTATAGAAAAGAGCTGTCCTGAAAACTGTTGTATATTGATCAAGTACAAGGAATAGGTGACACTAAAGATTTGGAAACAGGTCAAACCTGTACTAAAGTCATGGAGGGTAGGTTTGTAGCTAATAGGATAGGCTCAAGCACAATTCAATGGAGAACAGGACTACCTAGAGACAGCAGGAAGGAAAACAGGTAGTTCACCTCATCTAAAACTCACATATACGACTCTAATCTTAGCCGAGCCTCATAATGCCCCTATTTGTTAATATTAATTTAACAAAAGGGAAGAGTAGAGCATAAGATATACAACAACTATCCCAAGGTTACCCTGTTAATACTGTCTGAGGAAATTCCTGAAAAATTATGACATTAGATGCCTGACTACTTCAAAGACTAGATGATCTGCTGTTGCTTGTCCTGCAAAGTCATAACCAGTGCTCATATGGAATAAATTGCTACTACTATGGCAAATAATTTCACAAACTACTTTTATGTATATTTACTAAAACCCAATTAAAAAAAAAAAAAAACTTATTCTATTTGCTTAAGTCAAGAATATAACCTAACTGGTAAGTGCCCAAGGAAACTGTGTTCTTAGAAAAAATAAACTATATATAAAGATGGATTACCCAATTGTTTTAGAATAGGGACACAGGCTGGGAAGTTTGGACTATATATATTATAAGGGCACTGAGAATAAAGGGTAGATTACTAAAAAACCCCTGGTCTCAAATCTACTAACACCTACTGACATAACAGATTTACTAGTAAATACCTTCAGTTTAGGAAATCATTCTTGACTATGAAAAGGGAATCTGGAACAAAACAATTGTAACTAAATCTAAATTCTCAAAAGCCTATAGTAAAAATTAAAATTTGCATTAAAAAAGAATCAACTAATAAAGTGAAACTCATACAACCATGTCCACCACAGAATACCATTCACCTGCTTTACTAGAGGAGTTTTCGGTGAATATTTAAAAGACTTTTTAAAGCTTATTTGAAGCGAGAGCACCTCAATGACAAAGCAAGTTTCCAATTTGTAATCTACTACTTAGCACAGTAAAAATAGCATAGAGTAGGTACCTAATAAATGTTTGCTGAATTTCATTATATTTCACAGAGTTAATGCTGCCAGATGCTGACTTCCAGAGTACCATCTTTGCTGAATACATTATAGTTTATACAATATAATATAGCTTATCAATAATTCAAATGGAATGGCTAGTCTTATATACGAAATATCGAAGAAATGGTAGGAAACAACTAAATATGAGGGGAATGGTGAGGCTTAGAAAAAGATAGAGACAGAGAATATAGTAATTTTCTAGTTTTTAATAGTAAATCAATAAATTTAAATGCAAACAAAAGTTAATCATCAGGTATATGCAAGAGCTATGTCAGATATCACTAGTATTCACCTCTTAGCTTTTCTTATTCAATCCTGTTACTGCCTCACCTATCTATAGATATTAAACATTAGCAGGGACATAGAAACCCTAGTCATAGCAAACTGCTCTGTTCTACTAAAAGCTTAAAACTGGTATGTGTCCTGGGGAAGAAAATATGGAAGTAATAAAGGAGTAAGACTTATTTCCAAAGCCCTTGGGGTTTACTAAAGCTCAAATGTAGTGTTAAAATGGAGCTTCGAAAAGAGCAAAGAGGAAACTCAAGTTAAAAAGCGATACTAACATACGTACTCTCTTCTAAGATGTACATTTTTCTTGCACAGTTTAATATTCTTGAATGGAGATACATGTCTTAACTAATGGTGTGTCACAAGTTTAACTGCCCCAGTTAATTTCCTTTCTTATATAGTATATAAAAGTGCATTTTAAGGGCTCTTAATGCTATAATTTGAAAAAAACACAATCTAACCCATTATTTACCATGCCCAGTTGAACAAACCCTTTTTTTTTTCTTTTTAAACCTAACACCAAGAAACTTGTTATGGAACTAACATCCCAAGAAACTTACTTTGCAAACAGTGGCTTAAAGTGCTTGAGTCTAGATAACCCACTGTTTAAAAATACAGTACTCTGCTAGCCAGTTTGGCTCAGTGGATAGAGCGTTGGCCTGTGGACCAAAGGGTCCTGGGTTCGATTCTGGTCAAGGGCATGTACCTCGGTTACAGGCTCCTCCCCTGCTTGGGTCGTGGTCAGGGAGCATGCAGGAGGCAACTAATTGATGTGTTTCTCTCACATCGATATTTCTCTCTGTCTTTCCCTCTCTCTTCCACTCTATCTCTAAAAATCAATGGACAAATATCTTTGGGTGAGGATAAAAAAAATTAAAATAAAGTCCTATCTTAAAAGTTCTCTAAATACCAATTTAATAAAAATGACAGTCAGGCCGAAACCGGTTTGGCTCAGTGGATAGAGCGTCGGCCTGTGGACTGAAAGGTCCCAGGTTCGATTCCGGTCAAGGGCATGTACCTGGGTTGCGGGCACATCCCCAGTGGGGAATGTGCAAGTGGCAGCTGATCGATGTTTCTCTCTCATCGATGTTTCTGACTTTCTATCTCTCTCCCTTCCTCTCTGTAAAAAATCAATAAAATATATTTAAAAAAAAAAAAATAAATGACAGTCAGTTCAATTTGGAAACAGAAAAGTAAATAACCTCTCAGCTCTCTAATCTCAAGGAGAAGTTTGTTTCTTCTGTAAACAGAATACAAAGGAAAGCCCCATGGGGAAGTAAGGCTTTAAAACCATAGCACTCTATGAATATTGTGCCGCACTAATCCTCAAGTGGGAGTGACAAGGGGACCAGAAGTGCAGAGGATTTAGGGTCTTTGAAAAGATATCCTAAATATTAACTCATGTGACTTTTGTTTTTGGTCTTATTCTCCTCTGCATCAGACAAAGAACCTGTGGATTTGTAAAGGAGAGTAAGAGGAAAAGTCCTAAAAATTCTCCTGATAATCTAGTCTGCCGCCTTCAACCTAATCATTATGATAGCAAAGCTCCGGTTCCTGGGAAATGCCCTGAAAGAGGCTATAGGGTGAGAGCCAGCACAGGGAAGAAAGAGGAGTAGGGAACTCCCTTATGATGCTTGTTCTTGGGGCTTTTCACTCTGAAATCTAGAAACAAGAATTTCTTGTACACTTTTGCCTCGTGCATGTTTTTAGAGATAAAATCCAGACTGTTTAGAACATCTGCAGGTATTTTCTGTTTAAGAAATATAAAACAATGTCTAACTTCTATTTGGGATGAAAGATTATCAAAACACGAATTCCCTATAACTTTATAATAAAAAACATTAAGTTCTTCCTTCAAATAAAATGTGTATGAAAATAGTTTCTCTACCTAAACTGAAAGAAGAGACATTACCTGGAATAATTCTGAAAAGTCCTACCTTTTCTTTGCAGCTGGAAAGCATGCTAATAATGCTAAGACAAACTGATTGGACTGAGAGCGCTGGGGACCAGTCTTCTGTTAGAATGGATAAACAGATATGACCATTGCTATAAACATGAGGATGAACGGGAATATTTTCACCAGTAAACATGACCTAAGAAAGAATAAAATTCCATTAACATGCAAATATTCTGTATGACAAAAAAAAAAAATAAATCCCCACATATCTTAGTATTTTTAGAACCAAATTAAAAATAAACAAAAACAGTGCCAGGAACAAGATAAATAACTACTTTTTTATTCTCATGAATTCAGTAAATACTGGTTTTACTGTATGAATGCCCATGTCATCGGGGGAGGGGAACCCCCAAATTATCTATTTTATATTTCAGTTATTTTTCAAATCCCCTATAAATATTTTCAAATTACCATGTAATTTTAGACTAGTAAAAGTCAACTCTCGATTTTTAAGAATGGTTTTTCAAATTCTATTCATTGCTCTCTGCATTTGATTTGTATAGAAATCAAATACAATAAAATTCTGAACAGAAAGTATTCAATTTTGAGACAGTATGAGTTATAGTTTGGAGGAACACCCCTTCCACCTGTAACAATGCTACCACCTCAGGTGCTCTATGCAGAAGGAAATGACTGCAACATATTCCACCTCCTCTAAACTTACACATCCATTATGATGGGCACAAATTACTACTTATTAGTCAGTAAATAACTATGTGCCTAGACCAAAATAAAAAACACAAATCTGGGGGGGGTTGAATGAGACTCCCAATTACTTGCTGTTTTTCTCTGCCTTTTCTTTTACTCAATTCTTATAATAGTTTTTCCTTTCTCCATCTTGCTTCTACACTATTTTGAAAGGTAATAAACCTATTATTTCCTTCCTTTGCCCTAATAATTCAACAAATATCCTAATAGTAGTGTTTCTTATACATATCAACCTAAGCATCTGAAAAGGAAGGAGAGTAGATCCATGTATCCTGAGGAATTTATAAGCATAGCCCAAAGTAGGTCAAAGACAATAAAAGTTATTTTTAAGAATGTTTGTTACTTCATATTAAATTACTTATTTTAACATAGAAGTTAATTCACCAATCTTCAACTGAATTTTATTTTGCAATAAAATGTACCATTTTTATTCTGTTGTTTAGTATTCATTCCTAATTCCCCAACCTGGCCTTTAAAAAAATTACCTGAAGATGTGGCTAAAAATACAAATTCAAGGACCCCACTTTCACAGGTTTTGAATCAGTAGGTATAGTGGGATTATTATAAAGCTCATCAAATATAAACCAGTAGTTTCTAAACAAGACTTACAATATTTTTCTCAGTCCTGCAAACTGCCTCACACTTGAATATAGCAGAATCTTAGTAAAAAGAAACTTTACCTTAACTTATGACAGAAACTGATGAAGCATACATTGTTCTAGGCATACCTTTCCTTCCCTTTAGAAAGAAAAGAGCCAGTGAAATAAATGTGGCCAGTGTAAAGTATGTCATAATTTAATATAGGATACGTTGTGGAAAATTACCATAAGCTAGGCTTTTGCTTTTATTTTTACACAGCTAGCTACAAATCTAATTTTATTACAATCTCACAAATACTTATATTTAACAAAGCATTCTTTCATACAAGTAGGAGTTCTCTAATATTTCAAACACACTACTAACATATGGGACTCATTTCCTTGGCTAAAGCTAATATAAGACAGCAAAAAGATTTTTTTTCTCAAAGGAATGACTTTTTAAACATTCTTTTTTTTTTTTTTCTCTCTTTAAAATCTGGCCATCCACCCTCCATTCACACTAAAGAGAGCTAAAAGCTGAAAAATAAAAGTAGAATTTCAAAATAAGAGACATCAAGTTACTTTCCTTGCCCATGCAGAAAACCCCTGAAAGACTGGCACAGCTGGGTTAGAAGTATACCATTTACCTCAAATATATCTGCCCATGCTAATGCCTTTTTCATGACTTCTTGCTTAAAGAAAGTACTGCTCTGCAAAAGGAAATGACTGCTTACATGGTCTTGCAATTCTTGAATTTATCCTCGTTTCCACAGGCTATTTTCATTTAATTTTTAAATTAAATTTTATTTTTTACCAGAACAAATTATAGTTTATTATTACATGCATTTGATATTCCCACAACCTGTTGTAGATGCCTACAGTGGGTGTTAACGAATCTCACAGAATATGCATCTGCTTTGGGGTATTCCTTTTGCCAGAAAATACCATTGGACCAGTAGGATATATTTATTAAGAATGCAAGCAATGCCCAAGAGCTTATTCTCTGATCACAACAATTATTTTTTTACAGGATATTTTTCAGGAACAACTTTTTTAAGAAATCAAGTAGAACAGTGCTTTGAAATTGCCAAAAAATGAAGAACCACCAAGTTATCTTCTTTGGCAAAAAACCAATGTATCAGCAACCATCAAGGAAAATACACACAGACAAATACAATGGTCAACACTGTATACTCTGACTAGCCAATTCACAGAGCAGAAGGAAAGCAGTATTCTTGGGTAGAAATGATGGCATACTAAATCACTTGGCCTGGGAGCCAAGAAATATGCAGGGACCAAAAGGAAACAAGGAGAAGCGAGAGGAAATGGGGGGGGGGGGGGCAGCAGTGGACACCTGCAGCAGAGGCAGCACAGTCTGTAAGCAGAGAAGAGCCAGAAATCAAGAGATCAGCTCTGAAGTATGAGGGGACTGAACTAAAAATCAGATCTCAGTAACCCTTAAAAAACAAACAAATAAAACGGGGCTTTTTAACATGCTGCATGCAGGGCAAATGTAGACAGTCCAAAACTTTTAGCAACCATAAAAACAGGGGAATAACTTAGTTGTACATAGTACAGGTAACCCCTAAGGCCTAACCTGACAGATACAGAATTTTAGAAGTTTCATGTCTAAACATGGAAAGGCTGAGTTTACGTGCCATAGATGGATTGCTAAAATAAAACACTTTTCAAGAGTTTATCATGTAAAAAGCTGGTAAGTAGTTTCCACAGGCTGTTTTAATGTAAACTTTGCTATTCTGGTCCTCTGCATGGGATTGGGAGAGTAACCAAGGCTGAATTTCTTCAAGATCACTCTCTTAATCATCCTCATTTACTTAACACCAGCAGAAGCCAAAGGAGGAAATGTACATTTCAGTTATTTTAATGCAGCTAAGTAAGTTCTAACCTTAAGAGATAATTAAGCTATTTTCAGAGTTCAAAACTTTTTATTTGTAGTCCCAAGTAGCTGATAAAACTATCTAAAACAAATCTGGCAAGACAACTGAATATAAATGAATTTGAAACAAAGGGAGTAAGTAAGAATGTTGCTTATTTATTTTTAAAATAATTTATTCAGATACAAACTAGTCATAATGCACATGAACCACACCTGAAGTTCTCAGTCTGCATTAGAAGCAGTCCTCCGATGTCTCTAAACTTCCAAACATCTCCCTATCAAAGTGGCTCATTTTCAAGAGCAGGTGCGATCTGAGAACTGTGCTCAGGATCCATATAATTTTATGTGTGCATATTACACATCCACTGAATGTACGGTCATAAAAAACTACTAAAATGTAAACTGAAAGCCACCAATAGTGACAAAATAAAGGCTTGAGCTCAGCTGTTCCTAATATGAAATTAATGGTACTCATATATAAGATTTCCAAGCATCAAGCTCAACCGTACAATACTGAGGTCTTACCACAGGAAGGCATACTACTATGTTCAGACTGGTGCGCTAGAAGTAATTATAAAGTCAGATACCTAATCTGGTGTTAGGTTAGGTCAAAACACAGCATATATAGAAAACAGGCTATAATTATAAAAGCCAATTGATAATATGGATACCAAGATTTCTCCAGGGACAATGGGAGAGAATACTTTTTTCCTGATGAAAACTGAAAGTAGATGAAATAATGTGTAACCATAAAACTGAACACACAAGCAGAGAATTTACTGTAATAAACTAAATTGGTATCTAATTATGAATAATATATGATTATAGGTAGTCTAGTGTAAATGGTGAATCTTTGACAAAAGTGACTGGGGGTTAGATTTTAACATAGTTTTCAACTCAATTCCTCCCCTTGGTCATCTACTATGAATTGGCAGCATCAGTATTAACCGTTTTCCCGGTCTTTCATAATTACCATGACCATACAGCTACACCTGTACTGCAAAGACAAAATTTCTGGTAATAATTAAACTAAGATTGGGTTCCCGTGGACGGTAACCATTCTCTCCGTTATGCCCTGTGATCTTCTAGCCTACCTGTCTTTCCTGTACCTTCCCTCCGCTTTACTTCCAAGGCTTGAATGAACCGGGTTCATTGTCAGATATCCTAGGTGCTAGCTAGACCATTTAAGGCAATAGAAATTGTTATTAAGACTTTGGAAAGCTTACCTGCCATCATATGACAGAGCAAGGAGAATTGGAGCACAGATAACAGGACGAGGACACTATGAAGACAGGTTTGGGATCTCCACATTAGGGAGTTCTCAGAAACTAAATGAAAGGTCTATGTTCAGGGCATGCAAAGGAGGGGAATAAGGGTGAGGGAGAAATGACTACTCTTTTGCCCCAATGTTTCGAAAGCTTTGTAGTCAAGGCAAGTATATTTTCAGCACTGCTCTTAGCATCAATATGGTTTCAAAACTAAAGTGTCCTCTTCCTCCTAAAAAAATATTCCCCTCCTATTTCTAAAATGCCTAACATTTCTCCAACAAAAATTATTTGAAAGCTTAAAAACAACTATCACTGGGACATTTACAACCTAATATAGGTGTGCTTCAGATCTGTTTTATTCAAACAGGATGCTCTGCCCTAGCTGGTTTGGCTCAGTGGATAGAGTGTCAGCCTGCGGACTGAAGGGTCTCGGGTTCGATTCTGATAAAGGGCACATACCCGGGCTGCGAACTTGATCCCCAGTAGGAGGTGTACAGGAGGCAGCCAATCAATGATTCTCTCTCATTTTTGTTTCAATCTCTCTCTCCCTCTCCCTTCCTCTCTGAAACAAACAAACAAACAAACAAACAAACATAAAACAACTAGGATGCTCTGACAGGTGAATGGGGTCTAAGATAGTGAATATTTTCAGGAAGGGAGAGTTGTGAATGTGAAGGAGGAGGTA